ATCACCATCTGCATTTGGTGGTTATCAGTGTATTACAAAGGTACAAAACAGATTTTAGTACTTCAATAGGTTGGTATATAATAAAATTTTATCAGTTAATGAAATTACGGTATTTAACTGTAAATTTAAGTTAAAACCGTAAAACCTAAAACGTTGCTATCGTATTTTTTACGGTAAAATTCCGGCAACCACAGCTGCCGGTTTTCTACCGTAAATTTTACGGATTTTTTTTACAGTGTATATATATTAATAAGCTTCATGTGTCCCAGATCAGTTTATTTCAGCCATGATTCATTTAAAAACACTGTAATGCAAACCTCTAGTATTTATTTGAGCAGCATACACATTACTTTACTGTTCATTGCCTCCATTTGAGTGAGCCAGTATTTACTAATCTTACAGAAAGTCCAAGTATGCATATCTAGCAGGTTCATAAATATTAAACATAGCTGTGAGGCTGAAGGAAATGGAATAACCTGTGCTAAAATAGTTGAACAGGCCTCACAAATGGTAATCTGTCCAGTTCTCGAACCGACTCACAGACATCAGGATCAGGTCTGAGCCAAACTTGTGTGCTTTTGCCTTTTCTGACATGGAGAAGATGCTTAACATGTAAATGGAGTGGGTAAGGGTGGGAGTGAGTTCAAATGCTGCATTAAAAGTTGGCTGCAATCATGTCTCAGTCTTAAAAATAAATAAATAAATAAAACCCTAGAAATGAAAGGAACAGCTCCTAGAAAAATGAACAAATTATTGTGCACTCTCAATATTAATAAATGAAATCATTTGCACAGTATTCTGTGTGGCTAAAAGGTTTTCACAAGCTCCTAGTTGCCTTAAAGGTCACTAGAAAATTGCATGCTGTCTCTCTGAACTTTTCAATCAGCGATGTTTGCTTTTAAAAGCAGCATTTTATTGCAGATGTAGTCTGGCGGATTTAAATGTCTCTCTCTTACAGTGAAGGGCAAGGCCAGCACTTTAGCAGCTGCTAACCTTGAAGGTGCCACTGAATGCAGTCAAACGTCTTCATGCTTTCCACACAGTAAAGCTTTGGAAAACACGATTTAAAGCTCAAATAGAGAATATAGATTTTCTTAAAGCTTGTCTTTGGACTGGATCCTGACTGGCGTTGGCTTTCACGTTATAGCATGACCTGCGGCTCACAGCATTGGCTGTTTTGAGATGATATTTTGGTCTCAGCGCTTAATTGATCAGTAAGATAATTGATTGGCCTGCTAGACAGCCGTGCTGTGTTAATGAGTTAGTGATTAAATGGTAATGAAAAGGTCCAGGCACATGCTGCATATAGTCCTAAGAAAGAAACAAACTTGAAACAAAAGGAACAGGATTTAAAAAAGCCTGATTCAACAAAGAAATGTTCAGATGGTCGCTCAATTTATTTATTTGAAAGTCATTGCTATTTTTGCATATGGCTGTTTTGTTTTTCATTACAAATATCTGAAATAAATAATTAAATCAATCAGCCAATCAATCCTTAATCAAGATACATTTACTTATTATACTGTTTTCTACAAATTATTGTGCCGTGTAGCATATGAAATTACTCTGCATGAATACGTTATACATGAAAATTGCTTGAATATGTTATAGATTCATTCAAAATGTTAAAATATAATATCTACTCCTCTTTCCTACAATGCTGCACACCTTGCAACTTTGGAGTTTGTGTATCTAGACGAGTTCAATCTTACAAGAACAAAACTTTACTTTCTACTTATTGTCTTGAAGAATGGTCTTGCTGGTGTTGTAAAGTGCACAAAAGCGCACTAAACGCATGCATTATCTCTGGCCGTGTTTCAGAGCTGCAGCAGATGGGATTTCATTACACTGTTTCATGTTGAGTGATGGCAGCTATAGAGTCGGTTTACTGGCACGCAGTCCTCTTCTCTCGGCTCCTGAAAGCCATTTGTGTGACTGTTCATAAATGCCAGTTGTGAGATGCCAAGACCCAGAGCACTCACCGCTCACAAACGGGCATTAACAACAGGTGCAAAGATGACAGAAAGAGAGAGTGAGGTGAAGCCAAGCTTGAAATGAACAACACTCGCTCCTGTTCTGCAGTTCCAGCTGAACTCTGATTTAAATTTACAATTAATATGCTTCCAATGTAAGTGAAAGTATGAAGTATGTTATACATTTGTACATTTATAAAAGAGGAGCAAAAGCAATTTTAGACTTTCAGAAATCTGCTCTGGTCAATTATCTGGCCAAAAAACTGCTCTGAATATTATTTTTATATATTCATTTAAAAAAGGACAATGTGCATTAACAAACATTCAAATAAATGTAAATACTGTACATAGCAAAAAGCCAGTTTTCATCAGCAGTCCCTTGATGTTTTTAGGTAAATATTATTTTGTGAATAATATATGAATGAATGATAAAATATATATTAATAAAAATAAAATATGTATAATTCATAATGATAACATTATAATTTACTTATTTATATAATGAAAAGAAAATGAACTGGATGCTCATGATGAGCTGAAGTTGACACTGAGCTTACATGAGGATGTAATATGTAAAATTTTAGAGCAGTACAGTGTATTTGAGTCATTTTTGTAGATCACATGATGTTGAGATTCTGCTGTCCAATGCAGACATAAATTACCTTAATTTTCTCCCAGGAGAGAATTTTTCTGTTAAGTTTACAAACATTTCCTTTAATCCTAAAACACAATACAATGCAATAAATGTAATTAAAAATGCAGGTAAAACACCTATGTTAAATTCCTTCATATTAACACAACACATTGGGCCCAATACAATGCAATAAATGTAATTAAAAATGCAGGTAAAACACCGATGTTAAATTCCTTCATATTAACACAACACATTGGGCCTTGTTTTTATGGACTTTTCTTCAAGTGTAAAGTTACACAAAAAATAAGGTCTTAAGGCATTCCAAACATTGTTTCTTTGCCTCATTATTATATATGACCCTGGAATTTATTCAGCTTTCAGATGATGTATAGATCTCAATTTCGAAAAATCGACCCGTATGACTGGTTTTGTGGTCCATGGTCACATATAAGAATTACTATTAAAATTAACTCAAATTGAATTAAATTGAAACTAAAGGGATCTTACTTTGTGGCTCCTGAGCTTTCCAGCATTGAGAGTGAGACAAACCAACAACAAAACATCACCTGATTCATCATCGCTATTCGCTATTGCTTATAAAGCCTCTTCAGAATAGCATTGATGTCTAAGCAGGACTGAGTGAGAGGAAACCAGATTCATTAAGTCATATAAGCACTCTGGAGTCCTGATGTTGGGTGATATGTGTGTGTGTGTGGGTAAGGTCAGTTTTCTATTGGTCTCCTAATGGTGCTGCTTTTATGTGTTCCCTGCCTTCATAACAGCAGCATGACAGCTGGTATTTCACTGGCACAGTAATTGCACTTGAGAGGCCGAGAATGGCACATACTTTTCTATTGCTTTTTCACATATTACATAAAGGAGCATTTTAGTGCCGCTATTTGCAGCTTGAGTAAAACTAGACAAATATCTGGACGGGAAATGCACGCAAGAAGTCTTTGTTTGTTGGCTGTAACATCAATATGACATCCAATAACAAACAATTACGGCACAGAAATAGAATTCAACATCAGAGCGTTATGAAACCTAATCTGTTCATATGGATGCATCATTATTGACTCAACGTGAGCTTTCCTCAGTATGACCTTCCATCTTTTATAGAAATTAGATGGAATTAATAAAAGGGAAGCACTCACACACCACAGAGATGATAACGGAAATGTTCTCAAGGGAAGAGAGCAAATAAAGAGAAAGCCGCCACAACAGTCTGTGGCAATGAAAGCAATCCGGCTTCATTAGCCAGTGTGTTTGGCAGCACTAATGGAGACAAATGACTGCATGTGAAAACGCTTCCAGCAGAGGCCATATAAACAGAGAAATGCTTCATTCTAATGCAC